ATTTCATGAAATTACGCCACTTAACTATCATTTCCTTGCGAACTTGGCCGCTTTGTCTAGTGTCGTATCAGTATTAGCATAATTTACTAATGCCCATGGAGGGATTGGCCAGATTTACAAGCAAACTGATGATAGTTAACTTGTTTGCACAAAATTAAAGATAAAGTGCGTTGAATCACAATGCATTTAACCCATCCATAACTGGGAGATAAAGTTTGTTGTTGTAACGAAAAATATTATTGTTAAAACCTCAAAATACAATCTCCAAGCCTCGCCAACTATTTGCGAAGCACAAAGCAATGCAAGGAGGGTAAAATATAGAAGGTTCACACAAAGAAGAAGAATCCTCTTTCCATCCAAGCTGGTTGCAGGTAGTTAATAAAGTACATGTGGGTCAATGAGTAAAACGTGATTTCGTAACAGATTCAATTATGAGTTAGCCAATAAAAAGTCTCTAGTTAACATCTCTCCCTAAAAGACCGTATTATCTCAAACCTTGTAGGGAAATCTATAAATTCCTCCACTTTTTAAGAGACATGCATGCAACTCATATATCTCCTCTCAAATAGTTATTTCCCTCTTGCTCCAAGTTTGAACATCGAAATTAGTGAGTTTAGGATGTGAAAATCCTGAATAGGTAAGAGGATTTGTCGATTTGTTTTTTATCGTCAACAAATTGACATTGCCTACAAAAATTTGAACAAAGTAAACCACAAAACTCTACGCCCTAGTTGAGAATTAGTTGAAATTTGCGAAAATGAGCCTAGCAAAGAAAAGCCAGGAATTAGTTGGAGCACTGGAAGATGAGAATTGAGGGATCAATACTGTTTTATCCAATATATAGGTCAATTCAGCAACGAAGGCCATCCAAAAGATGATTGAAGACCTCAAAGCGTTGATGGCAGAACGTACTTCTCTATGTACAAAGATACAAAGCCTGAAAAGTAAGCATACTGAAAAAGGTAAACTTTTAGGTAATCCGCAATCCTTGACCTCTTTAATTAAAACTATAGAGCCTAGAATTGAAATTTCAAGAATCGAAGATAAGGTGGTTGTGATTCGACAGTTTTAGTGGGAGAATATTTTCATCATATACTCCTGGATAGTAGAGGTGTGGGAGACATGATATATGATGAAGCATTTCACCAATGTAGAAATATAATCTTTAAATCCCTGTTTTGGAACCTCAGCAACTCACCAGAGAAAGATCGATCCTTCGTAGACATCTACTTTATTAGTGAGGATAGGCGAGGCGCCCAGACATACCAACAGTATATGAATTTCAACATCATCAAGAGGAAATCCACATATGACGAAATCCTTGGACGGCTTGCAACAAAGCAGGCAAACATAACCATCTTCCTCCATCAATTACATGTGTGGTATTTTATGAATAAAGGTGAAATGTCCTTAAAGTGTAATCAATGAATCCTGCACAGAAACCATGAAAGTAACCAAAAAGGAGGAAAAAATTGTGGCCAAAATTGAAACATATAACCTCAAGGATAAATTGCAAATTGATGACTCTATCGACCTCCACATAATCAATTGCATGGAGCTAGAAAGATTTTTCGTGAACTCGGAAGATGCGAGCAAAGTTCTAAAAATTGGCAAGGAGTTGAGCAAACCTATAAAAAGATTGCTAAAAAATTCTTAGCTCGAAGCCTAGATTTATTTGCCTGGAAACATGCGGACATAGTAGGAAAAGATCCCAAAGTTGCATGTCACACCCTAAAACTTGATCCAAAGATTAAGTCTATGGTGCAGATGTCACCGCCAACAAACACTGAAAAGTATTAAGCATTGAAGAATAAGGTCAATAAGTTGTTAGAAAATGTCTTTATCCCCGAAACTCAATACCTAGTATGGATATGTAACACAGTCCTAGTGCCAAAAAGCTTGTCCTAAAGATAGCTTCCCACTCCCTAGAATCGATTAGCTAGTGGATATAATTATGGGATACGGGTTGGTGGACGCAATTATGGAATACAAGTTAAGTTTCATAGATGTATATTCGGGATATAAATAAATCCCAATATATAGACCCGACGAGGAACAAACCACATTCATAACGGATCAGGGACTATATATTTATAAAATAATGCCTTTGGGCTAAAAAATACAAGGCTGCGTATCGAAGGCTAGTGAACAAAATGTTCATGGATCATATAGGAAAAAGATGGAATTATACGTCGATGACATTCTTATGAAAAACCTTCAGGTTGGAGACCATTTAAAGTATCTGGAAGAGTCTTTCAACATATTGCGAAATACAAGAAAAAAATTAATCCATTAATGCAATTTAGAGTTAAAATTCAAAAAGTTCCTCAATTACATGGTCAATCAACAAGGTATTGAAGCAAACCTCAACAAATTCAAACTCTCATAAAAATGAGGTCCCAATCTAAATCAAAAGAGGTACAAAACCTAATGGAAAGGATTGTCACCCTAAATAGATTTGTATCACGATTAATGGACAAATCTTCCTCTTTCTTCTACGTGTTGAAAGGAGGAAAGAAGTTTGAATGGAACAACAAATATGAACAAGCATTCCAATCTCTAAAAAAATCATTTAGGGAAAGCACTTCTAATAGCTAAAGTCAAAAATGGTAAAAAGCTATTACTATATTTAATTATTTCTAAGGTGACAATCAGCTTGGCATTTGTAAAAGAGAAAGGACAACAACAATTTGTTGATCACAAAGACGACATAAGGATTGAAATTAATGACATTGTATGAAATATGTAATAAGATCACAAAACTGAAACAAGACTTAAAAGTAAAGAAATCAAAGAAAGCCAAGCGGAGGAAACAATGTTTTATTATAACAAAATGGAGAGAAATTACTCACAACAGTTTTTACTTGAACTATACTGAAAGAAGAGGTCACTATTTATAGGTACATACCATACCATAAAGATAAAGATAATGTGAAATAAGGAAACAATATATTTTCAATAAAATCACGTGAAAATAAGGAAATAATTTTTTCCTAATCTGGGTCATAAACCCAACAATCTCCACCCTGATCCAAATTCCGGACGAACGAAGCTCCAAAATTTTTCCTCCAACTGCATCGAAATAACCAAACTCTTTAAAATAGTAACCAAAACTCTCCATCACAAAAAAAAAAAAAAAAAAAAATCTTCCTTTTCTCAATGTCCATAAGCGATACCCGAACCCAACTCTCGAGTTCCCAAAATTCCACCAAGAAATTATTGTTAACAAAATAAGGTCGAAGCACATCCTGTAACAGAAATCACACTAATGTCTGATCATAAGGTCCCTTGCTAAAACTGTCACCTTCGACGATCCCAAAAGCATTACAGCATAACTGGTGCTACTGTACCTACGCTCCATGAGTCCAACCCTAGGAACACAGTTTGTCCATTGAAATTGGTGGTAAAGCGGAATCACCAGTGCTCCACTGAGCAATGTTCTTAACCGAAACCAGAGTTCGTCACAAAAGATACTGTATCAAACTGAATATCAACCACGATACTGAACTTGTCCAAATGTCTCTTAACTAGTTTTGTAGTTTTTTGTAAGATATACAGCGGAGACTTCTTCCGTCCCTCTAGTACAATCCAAACACCCATTCGGACTTTCAACACTCCACCTCTACCAGAGAAATTGTACGCTTTTACATCCAAGATACTCATCGAGATAAGATTCATTTTCAGGTCTGAAATATGTTGAACCACTGAGATTTCTTTCGTCCCTTCAGTACAACCCAGACACCCCTTTGGACTTTCAAGACTCCACCTCTACCAGAGAAATTGTACCCTTTTACATCCAAGGTACTCATTGAGATAAGATTCCTTTTCAAGTCTGAAACATGTTGAACCTAATCAATTATTCTGACCATCCCATCCTGCAACCTTAATTTGACCGGACCGATTCTAGCAACATGACAAGTCTTGGTGTTTCCCATCACAACTCCACCTTACTTAACAGTCTCATATGTCCGAAAGAAATTTTGATTGGAGCACATATGATACGAACATGCCGAATTGAGAATCCACTCCTCGTCAAGTTTAGACTCCATGTCAGATATCATGATCAACATCACATCACCACCATAAAAAATCCTCGGTAACATTAGTCTCGTCCGAATTACATGATTGTCCCCTGTGATTTTCAGCTAAATTACTTTTAGCCTGCAACTTATTGCAATCTTTCTTAACGTGTCTTTTCCTCCTACAATAGAAGCAGTACAAATTACTGAAGTTCCTCCTCAATCTACCACTCCGTCGATCACCATGAGATACTAGAGCTTCTTCATCCTTCGATGTAGTTCCAACCAAATGCTTCTTCTTTTCCTTAAGAGCCAATTTGCTAGTGAAATTTTTAATCATGCATAACTGCTCCAATTTCAACCACAAAGCAGCCTCTTTTTTCTCCCTCAAGATATCCTACGGAATATTATTGGATAAACAAATATGAATCAGTGATAAAGCCTTCCGATCCCTCTATTGTTTCTTCTATGTTGTCCAATTAACTGGTATCTTCTTAAAACCTAGCAATGCATTGTCTAAATCCAACTGCGCCAAAATAGCTCTCATCTTTACTTGCCACAGAAAAAATCTTATATTGCAATCCAACAAAGAAAACGATGTTTTATTATAATAATATGAAAAGAAAATTACAACACAACAATTTTTGCTTGAACTAAATTCAAAGAAGAGACCACTATTTAGAGGCACATATCATATCATAAAAATGGAAATAATGTGAAATAAGGAAATAATATATTTCTAATAAAAACATGTGAAAATAAGGAAACAACTTTTTCTATGGGAAAAATAAGGAAACAACCTTTTTACCTAATTTGAATCATAAACCCAACACAATTATCGGTCTACCATGTAAGCAAACCCTTGCAATGAGCAGAAGATGTCCAAATATAGAAAAGACAGCCTAGCCTTGGTCACAGCGTCACAAAAATTGCGACCTTATTTTCAAAGCCACGGCATTGAAGTAAGTTCACGCCCAAGGATAAAACAATGGCTACCTCGCTGAAGCCTTAATGCCCTTAATATTTATAGATCAAATCGTTATCACATGATCATTTGAATCTTCTTTTCAACAACTATAAAATGAAACTTTTATGAAATGAAACGGGGCCAAACTGCTTTTTCAAATTTGAATTTCTTTCTTTTTTTTTCTTCTATACAGATTTATTTAGAGCAGAAATTCCAGAGAATCCTCACCTCTGGGACAAAAATAAATCTAACTGAGCTTCACTCTCCTATTTTATTTACAGTTGCAGCAGGTTTATCCCTCTAATCACATTGCTAATATATAACTTGACAAATCATATATCAAAGACCTACCTATAAAAAATGGAAATGAAAACCTATAATTGCATTGTGCGGTACCAGATTCACTCTCCAGTGTCCATCCTCGGACGACCAACTGAACATTAAGGCTTACTGGCAGCAAGTGGAACATAGAATTACGCTTGTAACTTTAGGTGTCTTCTGTAAAAATTCTGTATATGAAACTTCGGAATCTTCTAGAATACTGTCTGGGATCGACGGCAGATATTGAAGTTGGGTCGTATTGAAATGACTTGTATGCATGTTCCAGCTTCTTGCTAATGTCATAATCTTGTAATATATCAATTATACCGAAGACTAGGAAGACATCATAGTACTCCCCCGTTGGATCCCCCACCAGATCAGACTCACCATCATTTCTTCTCACCGTTAGTTCAGCTGATGCCGGCATATTTGAACCTAATCGAACAGATGCGCATCTGCCAAACTCGACTGAATTAGTAGTGATTCTTGAATTCAAATACCAGCCTCGTTAACAGTATTATTTTCAAGAAGCAGCTAAAGCCATTTTCTTGACTGAAACGACAAGTTCAAGATTATATTTATAAGGATGTTTTACCTGGTAGGATCAAAGAGAACATTCAAACCTGCCCTAGATAGTCTGGGCGTTGCTCCTTCACCATCTTGCCCTACGTTCACTGCAAGTTTTTTTAATCTCCCCACTGAAGAATGAGTTCAATGGGGAAAAAAAATAAAAAATTGGACAGGTGTCGCAGAATGTTAGATATATTACCGGCAGGAGTCCGGGCATTGGAAACACTAGCCTCAGTCGATAAAGGTTCCCCTGTGTGTGATATTTCCTTGAAGTGAATACCAACCAAAAGACTGTAATCCATAATTCTCTCCTGTTCAAGAAAATCACAATCCCTGTCCACTTGCCTGCATAGCGTAAAGGTCATCTAAGAAAGGAACTGTATAAGGTAATGGCTAAAACTTCGTTGAACTTCACCTTCCAATTGTAAGTATTCATAAATTCATGTTATCCTTTGAGAATAAGCACATTTATTGCTAGTTAAAGTTTGGCTAGAATATATTTGGTTTTCCTTCCATTATCCAATAGAAACAATAATTTTATCAGATAAGATGCCAAAATAAGGAGTCAGGAAAAGGAAATATGAGACAGAGAGAGTTGGTTACCGGCGGAAATCTTGGAACCAGGATTTCTGCAATCTGAAGATAAAATTAAGATCAAGGTCCTTGAGGGTGGTGGTCGACTCAATCTCAGATTCAACCTTCTCACTTAAGCGGCCATGGGAAGAGCCCTTCAAGTCAAAACGTCGGTGAATAGCATATTCGGTGCAGAACAAGTTTCCCATAATGACAAATCGCACCTGTTCATCCATTCCAGAATAACCGAAAGTAAGGCTTTTGATATCATGGAAGTTCAATGTTAACATTGAATCTGACAAACGGAATGTACTTTTTCTGAGCTACCTTCTTTTGTGCAGGTCCAGTCATCTTCACACAATGAAGACCAAAGAATTTGGTTACCAGGGAGTTTTCAAACACCCGTATATGATTGTAGTAAGCTGGAAGCATTCTCTTAAGCACCTAAAGCGGTATTGTCAAGTAGGATTACAGCGTAAGCAGCTTTATTTGAATTTAAAACAATGAAATTACTCCTCAAAATGTCTAAACAACTTGGTCAAGAGAATAAATGGAAAATCCAGATTAAGCTTGGTGATGTTTAGTAAATTATATAGGTAGAATGTCTTAAAACAAATATGTATTAATCACGTATTTGAACGACGTGCATATTTTCGTAATCTAAAATATACATCTGAAACATTTTGTTGATTTGTAAAATTGCCAGTAGCAGATGTTGACAGGCAGAAATTGGACTCACTTTTACTTCTGACTTCTTCATAGTTTTAATCATGTATTTGTCATCATGGGTCAAGTAAAAGAAGCTTCCGCTTTTTCCAGGGGATGACAACTCTCGAAGGGCATCATTTCCACATATAGATATCATGTAGTCCGCTGGATCCACCTTAAACAATTTTCTCAGTGTCCTAAAGGCATAATTATCACATTTGATCAGCACATCAATAAAGTATTAGACAAAGCATGCTAAGAAGTGATGAATGCTCATCACTACATATATAATATAAAGGAATCATAAAAACACAATAAATAAAGCAAAGGAAATGAAAAATGCGTCCTAGAGCTCCTTTGAGGAAATACCTCCTCATAAAAGGAGTTGTCAGTCTGAAAGGGGAGAGATTAAGCAAAAACTGCGGAGACACTTCTGTTAATACATTGATAATTGACGAATCAACGACTGACCTGAAAACCAAAGGGCAGTAATCCTTCCATTTGAACTCGCATGATTGGTGAGGCGGAGTATGTTTTGAGCCTTCTGGAGGAAATCTGGTCCATATTTTCTCCTTCGGATCAAATGCTGTGTCTTTCAGATCAAGGGAAGTAGCTGGAGCAGGTCTTCCTACAGCATGTCTAAGTAATGGTGCCAAATTATGAGCTACAAAGAAGAAAAACAGAACAAATAGAAACATAGATCTAGCAACACCATCGCAAAGATTACGAGCATTCATTTGATAAATAAATTTAGGATGGGTAATTACAATTATAAGCATGTTTTCTTTAGGAGATAAATTTATCTTCGATGTTACACGAGCATTTATTTACAATTTGTTTTCAAAGCAACAAAACAAAATGGAAGGGTAAGCTTTTACAAAATGGAAGGGAGGATACATAATATTGATAACAAGAATAAGAGGAATGAATCGAAGGGCTTAAATCATATCATACTATTGATTCCAAATGGATAAAGTCTGTTATCTCTATTTAACCTTATTTGAGTCATAGAGATGCGTTGAAAATAGGCCAAAATCGATTTATGCTTAAGATGTAGCAAAAGCCATCTAAAAGTTGACATAATTGGTAAATGACATACACAAGAATCCAAAAATTATAAATACAGTTCATCTAATTCTTTTTAAATCACAGCCAATATGATTTACTCAATTCTTTTTATTCATCCTTCCATTTGCGACAAAATAAGGATTCAAGGCCAGAACGGAGAAAAGTAAATGCTTTTGTAAAAATACCGGTTACACAAAAAGACAAAAGAGGAAGTTGATACCTAATTCCAAGCTGCAAATTTAACATTAGCTCATAGTTCTTATGCCCTTTGGATATAGTAACTCCCTGCCTTTTTGTGGGTTTTATTATGATACGAGGCCGGTAAACTGTCAACACATCAACTTCTTTAGCCCCTGATCCTTCGTTTAATTCTCTTCCAGAACCTGAATATCCACTAAATACATCAGAACTCAAATCAGATTCTGAGCTCAAACTATAGCCACCCTCATTGCTCAGCCTCCCATCTATAGATGCTCTCCTTGGCCTTGCATCATTTACTTTTGGAGTTCTCCACCCCAATGATCCCCCTTCGCAAGGCCAGTTAACCATTTTTTGCGAAGGAAATACCAATACTTTCTCACTTGCATCAATTCTACAATCTCTCAAGTCCAAAAATAACTCAGGATCCCATTCAAAATTACCCATTTGTGAAGCTGAGGGATAATAAGTCCCACTCTGCTCATCCTTACTCCACACACCAACATAAAAACTCCCATCAGCCCATCGGAATGTCCCATTTCCTTTAGGCAATCCATCCTCCCAACTACCATCATATCGATTCCCATTAGCCCACATCATAGTTCCATTGCCATTCATCCTCCCAAGCCTCCAATGCCCAATGTATTGGTTCCCATTGTTCCATACATACCTCCCCTGACCATCAGGCTGCCCACGACGCCACGCCCCAGCATAATAGTCTCCATTTGCATAATTCTTTGTGCCTGTACCATGCTTCATGTTCATCACCCATGTTCCTCTATATGTATCATTTGAAGAACCTGTATAGCATCCCTCTCCATCCATGTACCCATTCTTGAATTGGCCCTCATAAGTCGCACCGGAGGGCCAACTAAACTTGCCCTTCCCCATTGCCTTGCCTTTGCACCAGTCACCAACATACATACAACCATCAACCCACAAGTACTTGCCATGGCCATTAGGACAGTTGTCTCCCCACTGCCCTATAAACACATCCCCATTGGAGAATACCTTCTCAACATGATAAATCTCTCCAGGGTTATAAGTTTCATCATCATCCACATAGGCCACTGACATTGTACTGAATATGCTATTTGCCCTGTTTTTTGCAGCTGCTTGTGATTTCTTCACTTTTGCTTCCCAAGCCTTGACAATGCCTCGCAATTCTTTGTTCATTCTCTTCTAATGAACCCACCTTTTCCTCTCCTTCTCCCTCCTTCCAGCCTCAGGCGCTCTCAATTTCACTATTTTTCCCTAACCCAAATCAATTTTCCTTGCGTCAAAGGTGTCAGCATGAAACACATACCAATAACCATATTTCCTAAATACTTAGAACACCCCAACAATGTATAGTCAAAACAAAAGCAACCAAATATCAAAACAACAGTTTTGTTTCTATTTACTGTGTTGGGATTCTTCTATACGATTTTTGAAATGGGTGTTTGATATTTTGATAGAACAGGCGCTGTTAAATTTGTTCAGAAAGAAACAAAATATGGTGGAATACGTAAAGAAAGAAGAACCCAAAATTAAGAACAATAATATACACCTCTTTGTTGAAATTGTTATTAAGGATTTTTGAAAAAGGAGGAGCTGTTAGATAGACAGGAAAAGCAAAAGCACAAAGAAAAAAGAATATTGACGTCAATGACAACCCTCCTCTATTGTTAGATGATTCTTTTAATAAATTAATTCTCTCTGTTCTTTATTTTCTGAATCACCCC